ATGGGGAGACAAGAATGGACAATTGTGCACGGACCCTTCCCGTCCCCTCCGCCAGCACCTTCCACTAGAGAAGGGCCTGACCGTAAACCCAAACCCCAAGCCGGAGGAAGTTCTGATCCTGATCCAGGTTTCATGGCTGGATACTGCTCTTCACACTGGCCTGGGCCAAACCCCAGCACCTCCCCCGGCTTCTACGGGGTGTATCAGAGGCTGCGGTTTAGACCCACCTCTAGCACAAACCCAAAGGCAACGAGCAGGGAGATGTCAGGGGAAAGTTCCATGCTGCAGGCCTTCCACAGCTAGGCCCTGGGCGCCTAGACCATGCAGGGCCCCTACAGCCACCACCCTTCCACGCCCTATACCATGCAAGATTCCCCTGCCCATCACCCTACCCAACCCCCCCACCCTACTATATCATGGAAGAGCCCCATGGCCAGGCCCCTACCATACAGGGCCCCTGTGCCCAACCACCATCCCCAGCCCCCCACCCTTCCCTGCCCCATACGATGCAAGGTCCCCATAAAAGGAAATATCCTGGCATCATTGTGGAAGCCTAGGATGCCCAAGGCATGTAGGAGATTACCGTAAATACTGTTACCGGAGTTCTTCGAATTATAGACAAGCATTATAGCTATTTCTGTACATTTCCATTCATCCTCAATTTGTTGGTCTCACTATCAAAAAAACAAAAGATGCCCCACGTGCAGCACCCATTGGGAGCCGCCATGCCGGATGCAGAGAGGAGATGCGGATTTCCAGGGAAGGGCACACTCAGAAGAAGAGAGCACAATGCTTCTTTTTAGGATGTTAGCTTTACAAGTGATGCTTCAGGCACGCTCTCGGACTCCAGGCAGTTGACGCTATTAACAGAGCAGAAGGAAACAGCAGCAGAAGAGGTTACCACCAGCTGAAAGAGTCCGTCGCAAAATTAGGCTGTCTGTGCAAACAGCCAATGCATGCTCTTTAAAGACGGCTGTAGGATCTGGAATGCAGTGGTAATGCCAAGCTGATTCTAAAGAGAGGAGACCACGTACTGCATTTCCCCTGGGGAGCAGCCTTGTAACAAGACACTCTAAGTGTACTCATTTGTCGTTTATTTTTTCCCCCAACTTGTTTGTAACACTTGCTTCACTTCATAGCACTTAGCACTTGCAGAGCTCTTTACGTCATTCGCAAACACTGACTGACTAAATCTTGCGGCAATCTATAAACGAGGTAAACATCACTCCCACTGGAAAACTGGCACAGGCAGATTGTGTGATTTGCCCAAGGCATACAGCAAATCAGTGGCAGAGATGGGTATAAAATGCAGACATTCTGATGCTCAGTTTAGTAGGCCGTCCTGCCCGCCAGCTGGTGTTTGTTTTCCTGCTGCTGACTACAATGCATAACTTTTCTAGGGATGCTGGCAACTATGGGAAGAACCCAATCCAAGTTCCAGGGCTCTCTCCAGGCAAAAAGCACTGCCTGTAAGCGGACATACACATAGGGCCGGATCCACAGTCAGTGGGTGTCCCTCCCTTGACTTTTGTAGGCTTTGGATCAGATATCCATAGGAAGCATGTACAGGAATCCTGCAGATCAATTCAGCACACAAGCCTCATACAGAAAAGCATGGAGAACTGCAGCGACTAGCTCTGTCTTCTCCTTAGCACGCTGGGCCTGATCCAAAGCCCACAGGAAACAATGGAAAAATCTACCCGTGATCTCAATGAAGGTCTCTCACTGGGATTTTCAATGGAGCCCAAAGGAGTTATGCACCCAGATCCCATTGAAATTCATTGGAATCTGAGCATCAACTCCCTTAGTCTTCTCTAAAAATCCCAAATGCTGTGTTATCATCCATTATTATATATTACTGTAGCATCTGGATGCCCCAACCAAGATCAAGACCCCTTTATGCCCAGTTCTTTACAAAGCACAGTGAGGAGATGGTCTCTGCCCCAAGGAGTTTGCCATCTAACGTGCCACCAAACTCAGTTCTCTCAGCCGAAGGAATCTCGCCCCCACCTTCGCTCTTCCAGACTAAGGCATCATTGGAATTCAGCTCCCAGAGAAGCTTGCGATCATTCAGTTGCAATTCCCATCTTAAGAGTTAACCATGTTCTTTCTCTGCCACGTACCACGGGGTGAGAGCTCAGCACTGGCACCAGACTCCCAAGACCCCTGAAAATTAAACTCTCTAAGCCACAGGAAATCAGGAGTTTGGTCAATGGGGCTCTTAAGTTCTTAATTAGGTGGCAGGGAATAATGCTTGTGAATGGCAGGGAATAATCAAGTCTATTATAGTATCTAGGACGAAGTGTTCCCTATTATGACATATCAAGGTATATTTTATCTGAGCTCTTCTACAGAAACCCTCGTTTATAAAAGACTCATTAGACTGTAACAGGTTCCTTGCCTCCTCCAGCATTTTGAAAGGAATTTCTGGCTCCAGTGGATATGCAGTTTTTCCCCGGTCGTGGTGACAGGACACCCTGGCAGCAAGATTCATCATAAGGGCAACCACTGTTAAATGTCACATTTCACTCAGATTCTCCACCTCAGTGATCCAGAGCAGGGAAAGGGGGTGGTGGGAATCTCCCACCCAAGCTAGGAGAACAGCTTCAGATCTCAGCTGCGAAGCAAGCAAGATTCAAGGGCTTTGGGCATTGGATGATAGAAAACGTCGGAACAGTGCTCCGTGATGCTGCACAGACAGCAAGCCTTCTTAGGAGGATAATTATTGCTTCCACCACCACTCATTTTGGGCCTGACCAATATCTACTGAAGTCAACAAGTGTCTACCCATTGACTTCAAAGGGCATTAGATCAAACTTTTTACGGCAAAGCTTTGACCTGGCCTATTTGGTGTTTTGGGGCAGCAATTTAGAACTTGATTCATTACCTCTTTCAAGCCACATTCCTCACCCAAAACCCTCACTGACCTTCACTGGGAGATCTGTGCAGACACCCAAAGTAGAATACGCATAGCCTTTAATAATGGCGTTATTATATCACCTGTAGGAATGGGCACTATGGTTTGGGGAAGGGAGCGTTATCTAGAGGTGAAAACAGACAACAGGGGAGCATGGTAGGGAACATGAAAAAAACCAAACACCTTTCTTCTTACAGCATCTCCTCCATAGCTCTCAATGAAACTACTCCTAAGACAGCTACAAGTCACACAACCTGCCTTCTTGGCTTCAATGGGAAATGTCTCTCTGGCAGATGCCAGTGAAAGGGAAGGGGAAAATAACAGCAGGACAACGAAAAGAAAGGCAGAAAACAACGCAGAACAAGAGTAGAAAGGGTGCATTTTTACACAGAAGAACCTACACACACAACAATTCTAGGGAATAAGAGGAAGCTACTGCCATACAGAGAAAACCTGAGCAACTTTCCCTTAGGTGGCACTGATCACTCCCATTGCAAGGTACATCTTATCTATGGGTCTTGCAGACCTCAAGAAACAAAGACCTTAGAAACAAATCCAGTCTGGTGTGGATAGGTCCGTTTTCACTTTCACCTTGAAAACTGATTAACACATCACTTCCAAAAAACAAAAAGCCTCAAAAGTTCCCATAGCACTTTGATCTTTTATTGTCACCTGATACCTCAGGAAATTGTGACTCATAGTTTACAGAGCAATTTGTTTCCTTTTAAGAATTCCCCCAAACAGGGTCAGCCCCAATATGGCCTTTTACTTCTGAAGCCACTCTTCTTTCTGCTTTTGTTCCAGTGCCCTAGAGAAGTGGTTCTCAACCAGAGGTACCCCTGGGGGTTCGCAGAGGTCTTCCAGGGGATACATCAGCTCATCTAGATAGTTGCCTAATTTTACAAAAGGCTACATAAAAAGCACTAGCAAAGTCAGTACAAACTAACATTTCAAACAATGACTTGTTTATACTGCTCTATATACTATACACTGAAATGTAAGTACAATATTTATATACCAATTGATTTATTTTATAATTCTATGGTCAAAATGAGAAAGTCAGCAATTGTTCAGTAATAGTGTGCTGTGCCACTTTTGTATTTTTAGGTCTGATTTTGTAAGCAGGTAGTTTTTAAGTGAGGTGAAACTTGGGGGTACCCAAGACAACTCAGACTCCTGAAAGGGGTACAGTAGTCTGAAAAGATTCAGAGCCAGTGCCCCAGAGGACAGAGAACATTGCTCTCTGCCTGTATTTTCACTTGCTCAAACCAACCTTTGACAGTATCGTCTCTCAGTTAACACATGATTGGAACAGATTTTCAGTTGAGGGGCATTGGTTAAGATAGTATATTAATAATTCCCTGTTTTCACATAGCACCTTCCATCCTTAAAGATCCCAAGGTAATTTCTACAAGCCTTAATCAAATAGGAACTAAACTCCGTCTACTGGTATGTGGCAAAAGAGTAAGATATATATACGAAGCTGCCGATTGTTCGTGTTTTTTATACTGTAAAGAAAGAACTAAGAACCTTTGAGACAAAAGGCCGATAGGACAAATTGCCCCAAGACTTGTGGGTGCTATAAAGAGCTATTTACACATGATTTTGTTGAAAGTGAAATGGGAACATCTTATACCAGCCATTCTTATTTTGGACTCCAAAGCTATCGTTGGAAGCAATAAAAGAGAGAAAGATGCTTTCTGAAGGCTTCTATGTTGCACCAAGTTTCATTTGCAAATGAAACAACTGGCTGAAGTCCCGATGCATCTATAAGTTTTTGGACATAACGACCACACAACAGTTACTGAGATTTCTGAACCCTTTCCCATAAAGTCCTGCGACAGAAACTAGACCCGGAAAAGCTGGGTTATAGATTACCCAGTCCATACCACTGACCAAGGAGAGATTGCTTCCCATTTATTAGCATTTAATCCTGCCTAGTTTTAAATGCTTTTCCAATACCTTGTTTGCCAAGAACTTGCTAGGATGATCTTTCCCATTTACACCCTTCCCACGGGACCCTATGCTGGACCCCAACCTTGTTTCCACCCTATGCGCCAACCTCCAGAGCCTCCTCACTCACCTGTCGCAGGTGTTTCAGCAGTTCAGTTGCCTCGTCCTGTTTCCCTTGCTTCACTAGCAGCAGCATGTCCTGGATCATACTGATCCGCCGGTGGTAAGGGGGCAAGTTGCCACCACTCTTCCCAAACTTATCACTGGACTTCACCATGAAGGATGCTAGGAAGTCTCCCCGGTCCCTAGCTGGCATCTTCTTGCGGGAGCCTGGATTGTGTGGCTGGGGGCTCTCCCCTGCACCGGGAGGCTGGCATCCTTTGGTGTGCTTGGTGCCCATGGTATAGCCAAGCCACCAGGCGCCTCATCCGAAACGCCTCCCCCAGGCTTCATGCAAAAGCGTTTGGTCTCGGTAGCCCCTGGCGGGAAGCGATGTGGCTGGGCAGTAGATCTCAGCGGCTCCAAGGCAGGGTGCCCTCTCTGTGCCCTCCTCAGTGGAAGTGCAGACCCCCAGCAGCCTGAGGACGCAGAGCTGGAGGGCTTCGCTCACCAGGAAGAAATACAACCGGCATCGTCCCTCATTGCTGCCAGCAGAAAAAAGACAGGATTCGAAACAAAATCCAGGGAGCTTCTTACCAATGGCCCTGAGCCTCCCAGTGGCCGGGGGCCGGGGGCTGGCCGCAGGGGGCTGGCTCGCTGGCCCAGGGCTAATTGCAATAGGTAGTGGCTTCTCCCCCACAAGCGGGAGGCTCTTCCCACAGAGAGTTGGGCAAAGCCAGCAGCCCCCCTGGCACGAACCAGCCAAAAGCCGCTTCCCCGGGCTCCCCCTACCCGGGAAGATGCTGCGGGCTCCGGGCAGCGGATGGTGCTGCGGAGAGCGGTCAGCCCCCACCCATCCCGCCAGGCCCCCAGCACTGCCCGGGGCCACGGGGCTGGCTCAGTCCTCGCTCCCCATCGCGGCGGGGCCGGAGCAGCCGGGCGCCCGCTCTAGCCGCGGCAGCAACTTCGGGGGAACTGTTGCATGTCCCCGAACAAAGGCAGCGGGCGGCGGCGGCTCTCCCGAGCCAGCCCCGCTCCCTTCCCCGGCAGGAATCAATCCCGGGCACCTGCAGGGGGCGGCCAGGCGGGGTCCCCGGCCCCCGCCCAGGGCAGGGCGCAGCTCGCTCGGGGACGGAGCCAGGCGGGGGGCGGGCGCTGCCCCGCACGCCGCCGGCAGGAGGGAGGGCCGGGCTGGGCTGGGCTGGGCTCGGCGCGCCGGGGCCGGGCTGCTGGAGGAAGCGGGATCCGGACGGGCGGCTCCTCGCTCCGGTCTCCCCCTGCTGCCCGGCTGGCTGTGCTGCAGCGGAGAGCGAGCGAGCGCCGAGCCCCGTCCCCGGGGAGGGCAGCGGGCGAGACCCGCTGCACCGGTGCCAGCCTGGCCCGGCCTCCCGCGGCCCCGGCCCGTCCGTGGAGAATCCCGCCCCGCCCGGCCCCCAGCGCTCACTGGTCCCCGAGACCCGGCAGCCGGACCCCCCCTGCACGTTGTGGAGCTTCCCCCGGGGCCCTGCTGGAACCGCGCCCCCCTTGAGCAGAGGGTAGGTCCCGGTACAGGAGTTGTCCAGAACACAAGAACCAAGGTCCATCCAGCCCAGTATCCTGTCTGCCGGCAGTGGCCAATGCCAGGGGCCCCAGAGGGAGTGAACCTAACAGGTAATGATCAAGTGATCTCTCTCCTGCCCAGGGCCGACGAGAGGGGGGGAAGCCGGTACAGATTACCGGGCCCGGCGGTCCAAAAGCGGGCTTGGTTTCCCTGGCTGTTTAGTCGGTCTGCCCTTGCCGGGGGGCCGAAAAAATTTTCACCAGCGCCCAAACCCGCTCTCGGCAGCCCTGCTCCTGCCATCCATCTCCACCCTCTGACAAACAGAGACTAGGGACACCATTCCTTACCCATCCTGGCTAATAGCCCTTAATGGACTTAACCTCCATGAATTTATCCAGTTCTCTTTTAAACCCTGTTATAGAGACAGCAGGCTGGTCCCTGGAGGCAGGGCTGAGCAATCCAGGCAGGAGAGGCAGTTTCAGGTATTAAAACAAAGGGAAGAAGAGCAGAAGAGAAGCAAAAGACAGCAGGCAGTGAATGGGATTTAATAAATATTATTCATATATCCAACGACACATCTACACTTTCCACACACAGACAGACATCTCCCTTCCCGCCAGAAACTGCCTGCCAGTTTCTATCGTTTATCCCACAAGGATCAGTTCTTGCTCTGGTCCTAGTGAGCATCTACCTGCACCCACTCGGGGAACCGGTCAGATAACATGGACTCGAGTGCCAGCACTACATCAGTGACACGGTTCTACCTCTCCTTCACCACCTGCAATCACACCACCACCACCACTCAGATGGCCCAGTGCTTGGACGAGATCAGCTCACGGCTGAAGGAGGGCTGAAGATGAACCCAGGCAAGAGAGAGGTAATGCTAATGGGCAGAGGAAAGTATTTTGAGGCGTTTGCAGCCACAGCCCAGTCACCTTTGACTGAAGGTTCACACAGTCAAAGGTGTGAACCTTTGGTCAATTGGTCAATTGAGTCAGTAAGTCCAGGAGGCTCCTGAATTCCTTGCTGATGCTGAGCTCTCAGCTAGCAGCATCTGTGTGTAATGCTTTCTACCATCTCCAGTTGGCTAGGAGACTCCGTCCCATCCTGGCAAATTATGACCTGGTTTCAGTTATTCATGTCTTCATCAGTTCTCGGCTGGACCGCAGCCATCCAATATACCTGGACATGGAGCCTTCAGCACTTTGGAAACTCCACGTAGTACAGAACGCTGCAGAGTATCTACTCAGCTGTTCTGGCTCCCATGAGCACATCCAACCTGGCCTCCATTCAACTTTGGCTTCCCTTTGAATATCAAATCAAGTTCACAGTCTCCAGCCTTATCTTCAAGGGACTCAATGGCCTAGACCCAGGATCTCTAAAGACTAACTAAACCCCAGGATAAAGAGTGTGGTTGCCAACTTTGCTCCTCGGGCACAACAGAGCTCTCTACAAGAAGGGTAAGGCCGGTATGTGCAGGAGACAGAACTCCCTTGAAGGCCAGCCCAGGACAGTCAAATTAACTTTTCCAGGACCTAAGCACCATCACAAACCCCACCACCTTCCACTCCAAAGGCCAGATGCATTTCTTTGACCTTGCTTTCCCCAATGTAAACATACAGCAGTGTGTGTATATATTACTACAAAACAAAAAACACTCCTCTGCACACATCTCTCTTCCTGGGAGGGTTAACTTCAACAGGACTCCAGGTGGCCACAGGGGACCATACTGTCAGATCCACGTATGGGCTCGAAGTCTAAATCTGCCGGGACAATGCATTAAAAAAAAAAAAAAAAAAAGAAGTACTTTGTTGCTCTCTTTGACACCTGTAGTTTAGTTTTGAATTCTTTACAATAATTCAATCAGGCCATGCCTGGAAATGCACTGTAGTACAGTTTACTATGTCACTGTGATTTTTATAAAGCAAGACTTCACCGCCATATTTGCTATTAAATCTAGAGGTTGGGGAGAGGCAGCCAAATTTTTAATATGGATTGTAGAACATGTGGGCAAGTGACATAGGAACGAACGAGATTCTGCTCCCAACTTTTTCCGAGTCTCCTTTGGCCTAGAGAGTTCGATTCTAATCCTGCAAGCCACTATGTGCAAGCAGAGCCCTACAACGAGACTGCCTCCAAAGCAGGCTGTAGGAGTCTCCTTGCTATTCTAGAGCTGGTTCCTGCACCACTGTAGGCAATAGGAGCAGAGCCCCTGTACACAAAACTTGCCATTGTTGGATAGTTTTCCCATATGAACCAACCGAGCACAATTGTTTGTTTGTTGAGTGACAACAGTGCGCCCGGCCCTGTCAATACATAGCCTCTCTTTATAACACAAACTGGCAGCCAAGAGACTTCAGGTCAAAAATGCTCTGGCTTGACCCAGAGGATGGTCCCATTTCAGTGCATGTTCCTTACAGAAGGCTATAGAACCGTTAGCTTCTTTCTCCACAGAAGATAAATCTATTGCAAATTGAGAAGTCAGCCAGCCAGCATCAGCTCATCACTCTGTAGGATATAGGAAATGAGAGAGGAAAAAAACCCAACAACACTGAGGTTGAGATCCAGGGCTCCTCTGAACTACAGAATTTCAAATGAGAAGTCAAGAGCAGTGTGCTATGTATTATACGGAGAGGAGTCAGCAGGGCCGGGCAAGCCTTTTCCAGAGAGATGCTTTCGACTGGAGTAGAAATTAAAGTGTTCCCAACCAAAAAGAAATGGTACAGGCTCGGCTGCATTTCTTGTTAATTGAACTGCTGCTTGGTGACAAGGTCTTGCACTGATGGCCCAGGAGACCGATTAGCCACCAAACGGGTGCAGCTTGGCCTAGCGGCAACTCAACCTTCCAGTGCCAACACGTTGCCTCAATCCTGAATCTGGAGGGACCAGACAACAGAACAATCAGGCCCAGAGAGCCTGCTACGTGCACAGGCCCAGATCCGTGCCTGGTGTTTCACCACAAGCAGACAGTGCCCTGCCAGTAGGAGATCCTGTCACCACCACATCTTCCTCTATTCTGTCCTACGGGCAGACTCAGCCCTTTAAAGATCCAGTCTCTTTATAGGTTACTCTCTTGATGGTCATAACAAGCTAAACAAAGGATAGAGAAAGGCAAGACACCCAATGGGCCAGATTTTCACAGATCGATCCTGCAATTGCTAGGGTACATTGGCCACATGCATAACAAATATTCAGTTAGTGTGGGGGGTATTTTCTATATACTCAAATTGTGCCCAAATGCGCACATGCAATTGAGAGTGCCTAACCGTAAAAAATATATATCTGGCTCTCTCTCTCTCTCTCTCTCATTGGGAGCCACGTATATCCTGCAGTCCTCAGCAGCCTGATCTTTGTTTGTACCTGTCTGACTGATGATATATTCTGCTATTCACTGATTATACCTCCTCAGCCAATGAGAGATTCTTCTTAGTACAGCTGACTGTATCCAGGTGTGCAAACTGCAAGCTAGTCAGCATTTCTGTAGAAGAGCTTTCTGGCTTGGTTAATGTGCCTCAGGAGATCTGGTGCTGGGGATTTGCTAGTTAGAAATGTCCAGGATTCAAAAAGAATTTAAAAATTTCGATACTGAGACTATGGAAGAAAACAGACTGGTTAGACTTTTGCCCAGCCCAAACTCTGGATCTGCCTCCCTCCATGTGTTGAGGAAGTTCAGATCCAGGTCTACACTCTGCAGCCAGTCTCTCTCTAACAAATGGAGCCAAAAATCCAGAATCTAAATTCCCTTGGTGTAGTGAGGCGGAGTGACCTCCCTCCGCACGGGAGGGTGAGGGACCATTACACTTGGACTTCAAGGACATTTGGATGCCGATGAGAATTTTGCAGGCCAAGATCCATTACTAGCTGGGAGACGACAGAATCTGGAGCCACAGCATGGAGCACTCTCAATGTTGGTCCACCCTGTAATAGGAATACCAGACACCCAATTTCCCCATGCACAACAAGCTTTTCCCATCCAAACCACCTGAAAAAGGATTGAAGTTAACTGGATTGGATTTTCTTTCCATCCCAGGAAGTTGCCAAGATGTCCAAAACTTGGAAACAACCTGAATTGAGAAGTCAGCAAGCCATCAGCTCATCACTCTGTAGAGTATAGGAAGTGAGGAGGGGAGAGAAAAAAAAAAATTAAAACTGAAGTTGAGATCCAGGGTGCCTCTAAAACTACAGAACTACCAAGTTCAGGAAAGTATCCCAGGTCACAGCGACTCAGCGGCAGAGCCAGGAATAGAACACAGGTGGTGTGGATACTGTAGCAGACTATTCTGCTGACCAAAATCAGGTCTACGCTAGAAAAAAGGTTGGTGGTATAACATAGCTGTGCCGGCTATGTAAACGCTCCTGGAGCGGACCCAATTTATACCGGCAATAGCACTTCTTTGCCAGAATAGCTGCATCTACACTTGGGTTTTTGCCAGTATAAAAAAATACCACTAAACAACATTACTATAAATCGGCAAAAGTTTTTAGTGCAGACCCGGCCTTATTGTGTAACAATTTGGGGCAAGTCATTTC